GTGCCAAAAGAAAGTAAACATACGTGTCGGTAATTGGTTTGTTGACAGTCACATTTCATTTATACCTACCGTAAATCGGGGTAACTTTGCACCATTTTAGCGCATTTTTCAACTTAAGGGCAAAATTTAACTAGGTTGCGAGTAAAAAAATTAAAACCTAACAATTTTCACGTAAAGGTGTGGGTGCAGACATCCCTTCTGCAAAATAAAATTTTTAATTTTTAAATTTTTTAACTATAAAAATTTTTTTTGAAAAAATGGGCCATAATTACCCGGCAACAGGGTAACTTTAACCCACCTCTAAAATCCCTATAGTTTTTACCTTATATCTGCATTGGGCCAAAGTTAGCCTATGCTAGGTTAATTAGCTACTACCCGAGAAGTAATTACGTGTATTTTGATGATAAAATAAGCTAAAATAGCAAAATAAAAACAACTTTTAGAAAAAAAAACTGTTTATTTCATCAGAAATTTATACTTACATTATTATTTGAATTATTATTAAAAAAAATCTTTTCTGCTTACGTAAAACAGTTGTACAAATTAAAAATTTATGATTTCACAAACTCATCAAGATCTGGAACCCGGAAAAAATTACGTTTACATAATATGGGTGGTTCGATTTTGCCAATTACGTCGCTCCACTCGTATTCGATGCAGTCTTGTTTTGTCGGCCACCTCCAACTTTTTGACCTCTTTTCCATGCAATCCACTTTTGCGCCTTTTTCACATATCGCAGTAATCCGACCAGGAAACTTGTTGCCATCAAACATGACTATAACAAAGTCACCAACGATGTAAGAAGCTTGATCAGGTTGGCCTTCAGGTTCGCTGGCTTGAGCTTCGTCGGCATGAGCTTCGTTGGCATGAGGGTTATCTACATACTCGCTATCGTCAGATCCGTACACTTCACTGCCACTATCTGACTCATCAATAATAGGCATAATCGCAGACTCGTCACTGGAGGAAGAGGACACAACAATACATTTTTTCTTTTTTGGCACCGGTCCAGGATTATCACGTGCCTGGTGGAGGTCTTCATACGAAATACTGTCCCCAGGTAAAACTTGCAGTTTTTTTTTTCGCGGTTTGCCAGATCCACCTATGAAGTCTTGTCGTTCTTTCTGAAGACGATCTAAAAATGCCTGTCCAACCAAATCTTCATCTAATGTATTATTTTTATTTTCGGCCAATCGATCAAGGAGTTTTTGTCTATTTAATGGGTAGATCCCAGCTTTCGCAAATCCTGATTTTAAGTTCTGTGTTTTATTCAAATCAATTTTTTCCATTAACTTGTTGAGAAGCCTGGGAAACACGTCTTTTGGTAAAGTTGAGTAGCAAGAACCATTTTTTGTCTTTTTCCACTCTCTCAACAATTCCCTCCATGCCCCCTTCATTGGCCGGAAAAAAGCTATATCCAGTGGTTGAGATATATGTGTTGTATTAGGAGGTAAACAGATGAACTTAATATCGTGTTCATCACATAACCTCAACACACGTTCGTTGATGTGAGAGGCCAAATTATCACCTATCAACGCTGAAGGTCCGCCACCTTCTACTTCCTTCAAGAAAACACTCTCGAACCAGTTTTCAAAGGTGACGGAGTCGAACCAACCACTTTTGGTTCTGTTGTACCGGGTCCGAGGTGGACCACCTTCTGTCCACGTAGTCCACAATGACTCCGCTTTATAAACCACATAAGTGGGAATAACCTGACCCTCCGCATTGCCACAAAACATCAGCGAAATGGCGCTTTTACTAGAATTACAAATGTTCTCTACATATTTCGAACCTCTTTTTGTTATTACCTTTTTATTTCCCGGGTCGTCGGTTAAGTTCGTCTCGTCGTAGTTGTATATTCTCGAAGGCGGAATACCACTTAACGTCCTTTCAAGGCGGTCCATATAATCATTTATGTCACTAGATGTTATGTTGGTGCGAGTTTTTTTAATATTTGCACTGAACTTTACTGACAAATCTGGGTGTCTTTTAAGAAAACCGTTGACCCAATCATCTCCTGGTATATTATTTTTAAATTGTGGTACTTGAGTACCTTTGCTATTTAAATATCGACTTATAGTCATTTTTAGGTCATAAGGTACTAATGGAAATCCGAAATTAGCAAGTGTAACGCAGTGTTGTGCAAAACTTATTTCTTCTTCACGGCTGAAGACTGTCGGACGGCCAACGCTTTTACTGTGGTAATTTTTTAATTTATTTTTAATAGTTGATCTAGGTATTTTATAGTGGTCTGAAGCTGCACGTTGGGACATTAACTTTAATCTTATTGCCCTTAAGCACATTTCTAAAGTATTTTCACTATAATTCTGGTACATCCTGGTACCGGGTTTACGAATTATTTTCCGCGGCATGATGGTCTATTAAATAAAAAGGACGAGACAGATGAGATACTATACAAATTAAGTACCTAGAGAGACTATTTAAAACACGGAAATAGCATTATAATGCTAAAAAAGGAAATAAACAAAAATGTTCGACTCAGATTGTAGCTATCGGGAAACATTGGCCCAGGGCCAAAGTTACCCCGACGTCAAAATCATGTTTTAACAAACCAAAGAAAATTTTTTTTTTACAATTGTTGATAAATACTTTATAACGGTTATATATGTAAGACAATATTCTTACTTACCGAGTACTACGTCGATTGAATCATACAAAACCAAATAAAAGTTATATAAGCACACTTTTTCGGAACAAAAAAATTGAAAACAAACAAAATGGTTATTTATAGCAAGACAGGTGATAGCAGCAAAAACTGTTATAATATTTGGTTACCAATGTTGTTATCTATCAAAACAACCACAACATTCTGATAATAGTCACTTGTTTTATCACAACAAACAGAATGGTTTACAAATTCCGAAGTGGGACAAAGTTACCCCGGTGGGCCAAAGTTACCCCGTCTTACGGTATGCATTTTGCGCTTTATATATTGTTGGGCAAAAGAAATAACTTCTTTAAAATATTGTCGAATACAGTTAAATATAGTGGCGATACTATTGTGGACTGGAATAATTGTATGTGAGAAATATGTGTTTTAAGCCTGAAAAGTAAAAATTAATGGTCCTGGATAAATATTAGAAATTGATGAAAGTCTTCTTACAAGATGTAAAAATAATGCTGATAGAGTTTTACCGCAACAATGGATTTTTGGTGGCATTTGTCGGGAAATGACAGAATGTTTTTCAGTTGTGTTAAAAATCAGTCTACGTCTACACGTCTTATACAAGCAATAAAAGATAATATAAATCAAGATACAATTATTTATTCTGATTGTTAGCGTGGTTATAAATCAGATGAACTACAGAACGCTGGATTACAGCATTTAACCGTTAACCACATTTAAAATTTTTTTGATCCTCAAACTGGTGCTCACACACAGAACGTCGAAAGGTTATGGGGATCTTCTAAATGGCGCAACAAGAAACATAAAGGCACTGCTCGTCAACATTTGGATAGTTATTTGGTTGAATTCATATGGCATCAAAAGCACGAAAATCCATTTATAGTAATTTTAAATTGCATGTCTGAGCATTTTCCTCCTAGAGCGAATTATTAATTAGTAATAATTACTTATCTAAAAGAAATCTCCACCATTCAAGACGTTTCGCTAAATAGTCGCGATAACCAATAAGTACCTTAAAATATAATACCATTGATCAACGTTTTAATCAAGATACAATATCTTTAATCACAGCAGTTGGAAAAATGTTAAAACTTGACTCAAATAAAGATGATATTAAATTATTATCGTCATATTTTAATATTTCTGAAGAGGAATAATTAATATCTAAAATCCGTCTACTTTTATCTCGTGACTTAGACCCGTTTTACATGGATTTATTTACGTGGCGCTACTAATAAAAATACATTATTTTTAATTAGTATTTTTACTTGTTATGTCACCACGGGGACGCGTTTATGTGGTCTATCCTCGCTAGAAATCGCGCCACAGTTAATGACGCACATGAATAGTATATTAATTTCACACAGATCACGCTACAAGCGACCACAAATCTCTAGTAGCCCCTAGAAAGTTTGTGAAATATAATATTGCAGAAAAAATAATATTTTATTTAAATTTCAATATTTCTAGACCATACCTCACAACATAAAAATGATGTCTGAAGGCATCCACAGTGATAATTCCGTCATTGTACATAGAAGTGTCAACTCGATCCCTATGGATGAAAATATAAACGCGATTTACGCAATGTTGTTTGAGTTTTGCGTATGCTTCGCAAAAGCAGAAGAAAAAGTCGTTGATATTAGGGTTCATTCTTTAAACATCTCCAGATTTACCAATGGTCAGTTTCATATTATATTTAATGATTTGAAACGTGATCGCGAAAATTTTTTTAATTATTTTTGAATGTCACTAATTTTTTTCAACGAGTTCAACTTTGTTGACACCGCATATATCAGCCATCGATACTAATATGAGGCTATGTATTATTCTAAATGAAAAACTAGCAGTTACATTAAGGTATGACATTTTATGATTCTAATAAATAATTTAACTAAAATATTTTACAAAACAATAACTATCGATGATATTACATAATACTACTAAATAACTTTAATGAAACGTTTCTAGTGACAATTGTTCACTTGGTTTAAATGAGGGAGTAGATGTTGGTACAGAATATCGATTTACAGAGCTGTGTATACTTGGAAAAGTAGGAACTTGATACTGATAATTTATTTGTGAAGCATTTGATAAAGATGAATAATGTTGATTTGGCATAATATTCTGCCATTTTTTAATGTATGTAATAAGTTTGTTTTTTTTTTTTTTTTATTTATTTAGCTTTTAGTAATAAACTATAATAGCTCAACAATTAATAAATATAGTGCAGATAAAATTATACAGAAGTAAGATTTAAAATAAATAGAAACAATAAGAAAGAGAGAAAAAAAAATTGATAACAAGAAAGAGTAATATGTATTAGGAGACAAAAAGTTAGATAGTAACTAAATTAAATAGCAAAACCAGCTTCCAAAAAAAAGTTAATTAATTTTTTAATGACCATTTCAGTCTTAGTATTTAGTATATAAGGGAGAGTGGGTGGAATGTTAAGGGATTTAATATAATTAAACAAGAACGTACGCTTGGTAAATAATGAGGGACAGTCGAACAATAAGTGAGAGATGTCACAAACGCTTTCAATTGAGTGTAGGGTACAAAGTGGAGAATCGTCAAGACCAAGTTTATATGCATGTACTGGAAGAAGCGAGTGGCTCACACGGAGTCGGTTAAAGCGGATTATGGTAGACCTTGGTAAATCAAGATTATAAAACCAAGTTTTTTTATTAGATACATTAGGAACAATGTTTTTGTATTTAGAAGCAAAGTGGGCTGGCAGATTATTCCAACAGTTAGACCAAAGACTGGTGATGTGACTTCTTAGTAGAGGGGAAAAATCAGACCAAGGTAATTGCGCAAGAGGAGGAAGGATAGTATTGGAGGCAGTTTTGGCGAGCCCGTCTGCCGTTTCATTCCCGTGTATGCCAATGTGGCTAGGGATCCATAAAAATTGAATATGGTGATTAGACTGCTTGAGAATATGTATAGATGATTTAATTTGAAAAACAAGAGGGGATAATTTGGAATTAAATGGATTAGATATGAGAGATTGTAAGCAGGACATGGAGTCAGAAGCAATTAAATAATTATTAGGGGCTAAATCTGAAATGAATAGAAGGGCTTCGAGAATAGAAAAACATTCAGCAGAGAAAGAGGAGGACGATGAAGGGAGATTGTTAGAGAACGTAATATGAAGTTCAGGAATATAGAAGGAATAGCCAGCTGACACAGGAGAGACTGAACCATCGGTGTAGATGATAGTGAAATTAGGGTAATTTTGGTTGAGGAAATTAGAAAAGAGTTTGTTGACAAAAGAAGAAGACATAGATTTAAGCTCAGTGTTGGAAAAATTAGAAAAATTGTCGATTTGAACTAAGGGGGTACAAAGGAGAGATTCATAAGGTTGATCATAGAGTGGAAGTTTAAAGGAATTTAAGACATATTGGTGAAAATTGGCGAGAGAGTTAGCAGCAATTGATAAGACAGGCATTGATTTGGAAGTATAACGCCAAGTGATATATAGAGAAAAAAAGGTATCGAATATATTGTGGTTGGAAAGAGCTAAAGATTTTAAAATGAATTTTCCTGCGAGCCATCGACACCTGATATTAAAAGGAGGACAGATGGTTTCAACTTCTATCGCCGGACCAGGGGTAGACCTTACATATCCCATTATAGTTCTAAGACAAGACGATTGGAGCATGTTAATTTTTTTCCAGTTGGAGTAGGCTGCCAAGCCAAAAAGAAAGCAACCATAGTCCAATTTGGAACGTATGATTGAGCGATAAATGGATAGCAAGCTAGAAGGATGAGATCCCCACCAGGTATTAGATACGGTCCTGAGGAAGTTTGAACAACGGGATGTGAAGGAAGAAAGTGAAATTATATGAGGTATCCAACGCAATTTGGTGTCGAGGGTAATACCTAAATAGGTTACGGTAGTAGCAAAAGGGACAAGGAAATCATTTAGGTATATGTTACGTGGATCAGAATATCTGCGCCGAGTGAAAATGACTGATTTACATTTCTCAGGTGCGATTTCCAGAGATACATTAGATAATATAGTTTTTAGATCTTTGAGAGCAGTATTTAATAGTTCTATGGCGAGATGGAGAGATTTATTTGAAGAAAAGATGACCATATCGTCTGCATAAATAAGGCAGTTGTGGCCAGACCTTGAGAGATTTTTTGCAACAAGACTCATGTATATATTAAAAAGAAGGGGACTAAGACAACTACCTTGCGGGAGACCTGAAAATGTGGAACGAGTACTAGAAGAACCAAATGAAGAAGAGAAAACAAGATTCCTTTTATTGAAAAGGGAGAGTAATATATCACCAAATATCGGAGGCGCATTCAAAGAGATAATATAATCAACAAGAATATGTTAACAGTGCCAAATGCACCCCGAATGTCTATAAAAGTGGAAACAAAAAATTCTTTATTATTGAAGGAATGATAGATGTTACCAATGAAAGTTGAAAGACAATCTAAGGTACCCATTCCTTTCCTAAACGCAAAGAGATTAGGGGGTAATGTGGAATTAGATTCGAGCCACCAATCTAGTCTAGTTTTGAGAATATGCTCAAAAACTTTGCATAGGGAAGAAGATAGGAAGCAATAGGACGGAACGATGTATTTGAATTCGATTTAGGTATCGGAATGACTCTGTAGAAACTCCAAGAAGTGAGGAACAGCTGAGTGACTAGCAAATTGTTGAAAATATCAAGCAGAGAAGCTAATGCATTATCGGTAAGTTGTTTTAACAGTGCGTGTGAGATATTTTCGAGTCCCGGGGCTATTGATTTCCGTGAAAAAATGGCAAACTTTAATTCGGAGATTGTAAATTTGTTAGTAAGAATGTGAGAATATGATTAGAATTTGATTTTTCAAGTGTTTAATTTTAGTTCAATTGTGTCAATTTCATTAACCAGTAACCACCGCGGAAAATTCATGTGCTTTGCTTGAAGTGCGTATCGACGAAAGAAAGCAGGCGAAATGGTAGATGAAGTTACAGAACGAGAGAAAACATTCAATAAATAATAAGAAGAATGGTATTCCTCTAACAGGAGGAGATGGACATATAAACTAATTAAGAATGTTCATCAATGGACGGAGGTACTGCTGGCAGTTAACCATAAAAAGTTTCCTCAAGTTAAAGGAAAAGAAGAAGGCCGGAGAGCAGTCAGCAAGTCAACAGCGGCTAGCCAAGCTTGTCACGCCAATCTCAAAACCGGAGGCCGCCAGCAATCCACTGTCCGAGCCGATATCAGCGGTAGCGATGAAACGCCCAATGAGCTGGTAAGGGTCATCGCGTTGGGCCGAAACAGCTAAGCCAAGCCGAAGATCCGGAGACACTCCCTAAGGACGCCTGTTTAGCCACTTCGGCACTATCGTTCAAGGTGGTTCCAAAAGTGAAGTGGGACTAACCGTTCTTCACCCCAGTTGGGTCCCCAAATTGGCCATAAAGGAGAACTAGTGATGCAAGCCTACCTCTAGCGGGCGTATACCGTTTGGGCGAGGGTTTAGTCAACTAAAACTACTGTTTGAGCGAGAATTATTCAATTAAAAATACTGTTTGAGCGGTATAAAAATGCTTATAATATACATTCAATAATTAATTAAACAAAATTATATAAAATATGAATAATTAATAATAATAAGTCAAAAATGTAACAGGCGATTTTTACCCCCGAATATTTTTATCTCCCCCGGTAAAAATAACCTAGTATATTTTTTACCGGAGGAGATAAAAATACCTAGGATATATTTACCGGAGGTAAAATAAACCTAAAATAATTATACCCCCGGTAAAATTTTAAAGGGGGGTAAAATTATCCTAGGTTAATTTTACTCCCGGTAAAGTTATCCTAAAAATACTTGGTTGATTTTACCCCCCACAGTACAATTGTTCGTTAGGGGGGTAAAAATATACTGGGATATTTTACCTCTCCGTTAAAATATGACGAGTACGTGTCATCATTTTTGATTGAGATTTAAATAATCATAAATAGTTTAAAATTAAGTTAAATATTTTGAAAATTATATAATGAATAACAAATGTCTATTTGATGCAAACTTAGTTATTCATGTTAACTATTTTTGAACTAGAAATAAATCGTAAATATTAAACACTTATGATTTATTTAATTTTTCGAATAGTTAAAAATATGTTACTTTTTTTTTCTTATGAAATTAATAATTATACTTTTAGTTAAAGATTAACAAATAACATACTATAAGTCTTATCATTTTAAAAATGGATGTTGTAATATTAATTTCTATAGGTACTTATATACTTTACTTAATGATTAATATTATAAACAAGATTACCTACAACATTTTTCAATTATATTTTAAATTTTACTTTGTTAATACCTTCTAGATTTTAATAAATAATAATCAAAATTGTTATTAGAATATAATAAATTATAATATGATGTTAGAATATTTTTACCCTCCTTAAAAACACATTTTTAGCATGGGGATATATATATCCTTGGTTATTTATACTACTTCTCTTTTGGTAAATTAATATTATGTGTTCTATATAATCATTAATCGTTAATATTTTTATAATCTATGTAACTTATATAATAGAGGATGAGCCTCTTAGTCCTCTAGATCAAGATTTCACCTCCAAACGCGAAAATGAAATTTTTTTAATAACAATTAAAATGTTTGTTGTGTGTATGTTACTATTCTTAAATTTTAGTTGGTAACACCACAGTACCACACAAACCAGATTGTATGATTTTTGTAAAAAATAGCTATATGGTGATGGGTAATTCTGTTAATATACATGATGAAAAAGGAATTATGCATATAACGGATTTGACGCGACTCGCCAACGAGACATCAATAGCAATAATATTATTATCAATAGAATTTACATTATTCAATTGTTAGTTGGACATTTTGTATGTAATTGTTGTGCATATTAATATTTACATTACACATTTTACACATTTGTTTTAAATACCATAATGTTTAGACCGTGGGAATCCAAAATCGAACAATCAGTTGGTAAGTAATTTAAAAGGCACAATTTCATAATATTTTATTGATCAATAAATCCACAAATAAAGTAGAAAATAAAAACGATTAGTACTTAAGAAAAATATATGTTATTTTACTGCAATATTTTTATATTATGTGATATGTATTTTAAACGCATATCTTTTATCATTTAAACCAACATTATCGATATTAAAGTCTTGCTAAAAAATAGCTAAATACATGGCCGATATTGCATCTGCAAAAAATAGAA